GCATTTTTTAGTTTCTACCAGTGGCTTTTTGCTATCGCACTCTGAATGATTTCCTCGAATTACCCCATCCTTATTTTGTCTTCCCCTTTTGTTCTGTCTGTGTGTCCTCCGTTCCTACGGCTCTCAGTAACCACTGCTATTTGTCTTCCTTCTCAAACATCCTTTCTTAGCACCACGACCTTGTTTGGTTCCAAGGCCATTCGCACTGTTGGCAAGACCTGTTTCTTCTTCTTCGCTTTCTTCCGTCTTCAGCCGCAGAATTCTAGAGGCCGCTCTCCGGCAGGCTCGTCACACAAGATGCGTCCCTAAGCTGTGCAGCTCTGAGGGGGTCCCAGTTACAGGGGACAGCACTGAGGGTCAAGGGTGAAACCAGCCAGGACTCTGAGGTCTTGAAACATTTGCTCTGAGCAGCCCCAGGTGCAAGGTGTTCCCCGTCCGCCCCGCCCCTCCTCTCCCCACCTGAAAGTGGTGCTGGTTTATCGCCCACCAATTATCCCCAGACAATGCCCTCTGTTCACCTGCATCTGTGCCATCTCAAGGCACCTGGAGCTCATTTGGAAACAAAACTCCCAGGTGGAAAGAGCTGGCACTCTCTGGAAAGCATCTGCTACAGAAAAACAACCCCCCCGAACTGCCATTGAGCCCATTCTGACTCAGTGACCCCACAGAGCAGGCAGGGGGGGACTGTCCCTGCATTTGGAGACTGTACCTCCTTACAAGGAGTGGAAAGCCTCTTTCTCCCAAGGAGCGGCTGGTGGTTTCAAACTGCTGACCTTGCAGTTATTGGACCAAGGCCTAAGCCAGTCAGCCACCAGGGACTCTCCGTTTACATTGTACCTTTAGGAAGGGGCTTGGAGTTGTGGCTCCTTAAGCACAACCTCTGGTGTGTGTGTGTGCGTGTGCGCCCTAGCCATGCATGCAAGCAGCTAGTATCATTTCATTGAAGAAGAACTTGGGGCTCAGATGAAGCCACGTGCATTCTCCCCATCCCCACACACTGTCTGAGCCAGTGCCATGTGCCAGGCCCTGTTCCAACCCTATACCTGTCGGCCATTGTTTTGTATCGTTAAATGGATGAGGTACATTGCACATACACACAGGTCTACTGTAACACCACGGAGACTGCACAGGGGAAGGGGAGGGCGCTGGAGGGAGAAGACCTGAGAGAAGGGGCCCACTTGAGTGAGGGAGAGGGGACCGCTGTGGAGACCTCAGGCCGAAGCATTATAAGCAGGGACAAGGGCAGGAGGCAGGTGCCCAATGGTGTGGACTCACCCGTCCATGGATGCTAACTTTCACTCCAGGCTGGACCCCGCCTGAGCACTTACTTGTCCGGTTCAGATCCCCTGCATCCGAAGCGGCACTCCTACGAGATCCTGGGCGAGTCTCCTAGATCAGGGCTGCTAAAATGTTTCCCACTCGAGACCCCTTTCCCCCAAGGAATGTCCTCCAGAAACACCTGGGATTCATGGCACATTGGTTGTTGGGTCAATTTCTCACCATTGTGCATTCAGACACCTTTACTGTTGCCCAATCTTCCTCCTCCACACCCACATTCATTAGCACCCCATTTAGTTCCCTATCCGGAGTCTGTCTGTCAGTTTGTTGTTCTGGGGCACCTTTGCTGTTCCGTGGTGAAGAAGGCGATGTCACCGGTATTTCAAACACCACCGGGTCCCCCCATGGGAACAGGTCTCAGCAGAGCTTCCAGACTAAGGACAGACCAGGAAGAAGGAGTAGGCGGTCGGTCCACTTCGGAG